GGGGGAGGGATAGCCGAGCGGCTAGCTGATGTCAGCCCTGTTGTGGTTCGCAAGCAAGTCGATGACTTTGTCTCTTTGAGACTGAGCGTAATGCGTCAAGTACGCGACGCTATGGCTGAAAGCCAAGACACGCAGAAGGAACATGCAGATGCCAAGGGCAGAAGCAATGTTGAGAGGTTTGAGGTCGGTGACCAAGTTTTATTAAACGCTAAAAACCTACCTACTCATGCAGTGTCTGCAGTCTTCAAGACGAAGTTAAGACCTCGGTTCATAGGACCGTTCAAGGTCGTGGCCAGGAAGGGCCTAGCGTATACGCTCAACCTTCCGAAGAAGATGCGCACGCATCCGGTCTTCTATGTCGGCTTGCTTAAGCCATACCAAGACCCTGCTCAGGTGAGCGCGGAGGCGTTGGCACCAACGGTGGCTGGGCCACGGACAGCTGCAGGGCAGCAGGTGGTAGATCCACGGGAGGCTGAACGACAGCAAGTGGTGGATCCACAGATGGCTGATCAACAGCATGTGGCAGAGCCACAGGTCGCGGAGCGAAGTGCTCGAGATGCAGGAGCAAGGCAAGCTGAACGTTCAGCCGAGCAACTGGACACTCAAGGTCCGAGACCTGGTTGTGAGTCAACAGTGGTGGCTCTAACCTATCCACAAGGTGGATCATCTCTTCGAGATCGACCGATGGGCGGTGAACGTGAACGTTCGCGTCGTGGACGCCGGCGTCGTATGGACGCAGACGCCGTTCCGGCAAGTGCTGACTCTCCCCGCGAGAGCCCAGCTGAGGCAAGGCCTCCTCCTGCTCTGCTCGATGAGCATGGTGAGCTCCACTTTCACGTGGAACGCCTTGTGGCGTGGCGTAGACGTCAGGGTCGTACCCAGTACTTAGTGAAGTGGAGGGGTTACCCTCACTCACAGAACTCATGGGAGTTTGAGGTTATCATCCGGCAAGATTGCCCTGACGTCGTTGACGCTTACGACCGGGCACATCATGTGCCGAAGCGCCACCATGGCGTGCGACAGCGTCGCCAGGCGCTGGGCGCCTCCCACTAGAGTGGGGAGCGATGAGGTCAGTAGTTGAGCTCAGGCTCTGACCAGTGGCTGCAGCAGCCAGCTCGTACGTATGAGCGGTCCTCGCAGCGGGAGCAGGAGGTGGAGAGACCTCGTAGTGTTAGGGACATGGTCCCGAAGGAAGCAGGTGCTTCGTGTTGTGCTGAACAAGGTTCAGGCACAAGCGTCTCGATAGACGCATAGTTGTTTTGAAACAACTTGCTCGATGAGCATGATCCAAATGTGGGTGCGCTGTAACAGCGAAAGTGGTGTCCCGGACGGGGATCGAACCACTGGCCTTTGGCTTGACAGGCCGGAGCTCTACCATTGAGCTATAAGGGCGATGCCCGTACGTCAGTCCGAGAACGGACTACTCATGGTATGAGAGGGCTGCGCCCGGGTGGATTTGAGCCACCGACCAGTGGCTTTCAAAGCCAGTGCTCGACCACTGAGCTAAAAGGGTGTTGCCCTTAAGCTTGTCCAAGTGTGAACAATCGTTCATGGAACGAGAGGGCTGTGCCCTAGTGGGTTTGAACCACCGACCTATCGCTTGTGAAGCGAGTGTTCAACCGCTGAGCTGTTGTCGACGACTCGAATGAGTCAAGAGCATTGCTCTAAGCGATTTGCAGCTCTTGGAGAAGGCGCGGAGCGCGAGCGTAGGTCTGAGACCGCTTGAGAGCAAGATGCGCGCTGCGCTTGGAGCATTGGGCCGTGGGCCGACGACGAGAAGTTGGGCATCAACGATGCGTAGGCGTTTGTGAGCTCACGGAGCTGTACAACGCTGGTGTGAGGTGTAGTAACCTCCGCCGTCTTAACAAGACGTGACCTCGCTGAGGAGAGTTTCGAGAACGGAATGTTCTCATCTTAGTGGGGGAGTGTGTAACGGGGTTACATAGTGTGGAACACACAGGGGTACGAAGTACCCGGAGAGTTAACAAACTCTCAGTACATAAGTTGGAGAGTTAACAAGGTCTCTCAGTACGTTGGCCGAAAGCCACACGTTATGCATTTGATTAGGCTAGATAGTTAAACAGATACATTTACCCCTAGGCGGCTTGGCCGCAATAATAGTAAATAAAACACTTCTGGTTTTGAAGCATAAAAGTTAAGGTGTTAACTTTGAGCCCTGGTCTTGGGCTGTAAGTGTCCTTTGGATAAGGAACTTAGTATTAGTGACTCTTTGAGTCGAACGTCTTCCTCTGACGCTAAAGCTACGGCAGCCCCGCTGCACCTCTTCACTAAGTTTTGTGAGGCGACGAAGATGTTGTTGTTGCGCGAACATGAAGCTGCACACTGGCTGCCGTTCCTGAACCTGCACCACGATGGATGGACAACTGAAAATGGAAAGGTTGCTGCTCTGGGGACCTCGATTTCGTTCATTGACCAGTCTTGGAAGCACCGTGAGATTGCTTTACTTCTCACAGTCGGTAATTCATCCCACGTAGCTGGTGATGGCAAGCGTATGATCTGCACCCGCACGCTAGATGTCTACGGCGTTGACATCGAGAAGATGGTTCCGCTTTCCGTGTCCGATACGGCCTCTGCTGCCCGGAAGGTATCCAAACCCTTCGTGGAGTCATCCCAGACGAATTGCTCGATGCATGTCTTGAATTTGTGTTTGCTATACGCGATGGGCCTTCGGGAGAATAAGGAAACGGTTGAGGTCTATGATCCGGTGACGAACACTCGAAAGCGCGAGCAGCACTACTGTACTGTTGGTGGAGCCTTCGAGGAAGGCCGAGACCTTATTAAGAACGTTCGTGCTTTGAACAACTACTTTAGCACGCAGTTGCGCTGCAAGTGATTGGAAGGAGTGCAGGCGCTCTTCAAACTACCGAAACTGAAGACCGTAGTGGACTGTGATACTCGCGTAGGATTCACGCTCAAGCTGTTTCAGAGGACCATCGTGAACTACAAGACATTCTCCGTGTACTTTCAAAAGTGTAAGAAGGGAGATGACGCGACTGGGTTTGACCGTCTAGCTCTCGCGGCGTGGCGCTTGTTGGTGGAGATGGAAGCAATCTGCCGACCTACTGGAGATTTAGCGCGGTTTGAAGTGCAGAGTAGTGAGCTCGTCGCCTCGGAGCTATTTGTACTCCTGAAGTCCGCTGCTGATCGTCTGAACAGCGGTGTTTTCTCGGTCTGTGACCTCGAGTCGCCTCGGACGACGACTACAGCAGTGAAGACGTTCCCGCGCTTTGATGTTGTAGCTACCGACCCCACGCCTCTCACACAGACTTGCCTCGCACGATTGAAAGGCCAGATCAAACAGCGCATTGCCAACGTTACTGCAGAGATGGTAATGACTCTTCTTCTGGACCCTCGGACGAAGTCATCCATTGAGACGCTAGCTCGGCCGCCCTTCCAGCATGATGCTGCCAGCAAAAATATTGAAACAACGGAAATAGTTGCCGCCGATTCCATTATTGCGTCAGGAAAACGGTTGCTCCGTGACGCGCATCGCGAAGTGTACTGCACACAAAGCCAAGCTTCACGTGGGGCCATTCAAAGCGAAACCACCAATACGCTGCCAAATCTGAATCTCGTGCCAAGTGCTGAGGACGATACGACAATCTGCGGAGCTGCCGTCCCAATGACCAATGCTGGAGTCACGTCGCTATCAACACTACACGACCAAGCGGACAAGATCCTGGAGAAATGGCTGCAATATTCTGTGGCCTGGGTCTCCATGGTGCTGCACCAAGCTCCTAAACCTACTACAACCATGGACAGTCTGACAGCTATGCTGATGGTTTGACGCGAAGGGGTCTACTGCTGGAATGTCGAGGCTGTCTGTAAGCACGTCGATATTTTGCGCTGGTTTCGGGAGATTGGATCCACTCTGATCCCATCTATTGCGGCTCTAGCGCGCGTCTGGTTGGGAAGATCGCCATCGAACGCGTTTCAAGAGCGCGTTTTTTTCTACTGGCGGCATCGTAATGAGCAGCCTGCGGACCCGAACGGACAATCGTCGCGCTGAGATGCAGGTGCTCTTGAAGCACAATCGGGAGGAGATCCGCCGCATGGATGCTGGTTACCAACCTAGTAGCCTATGAGGACCTCTTGTGGTCCAAACAGAATCCAAATAATATTGGTGGTCGACATATGAGACCACCCAAAACAAAATGATACTTACGAACCTAAGTAGGAATCGCGATTAAACGAAAACGGCTATCTCTTGAGCTCTTATAAGCTACAGAATGCTTAAAACTGAAGAAGTTGTGGTCGCTAAAAAATATTATCTCCATTTATGGGCCCTCGAAATGACGATACATTTTAGGAGTGCTGTGAGCTCAATACCTTTTCAATTTTAAAGATTCAAGTAATATTTAAAAGCCCTTGTTAAAAGCAATTGAATAAAGGTTTTTTTACAGTTTTTGCGATGGAAGTTTACAATAAATGTCACGGTTTCGGCTAATTGCGAAAATCAATTGGCTAACTTTAAGCTCGATTATCTCGATAACTCTGAATGGTTCGTAAGTATCATTTTGTTTGACGTAGTCTCATATTAATACTTCGTTATTATTATCATTAATATTAGCTTGTTTTGGCGCCTTTTTCAAACTAATAGTCAGCTATTAGTTTGACATTTTGGTACATGTAATATCAGCTAATATATTAGTCTGAAAAAAATTCATTTTAATATCAATCCCTGTCAACAAGTGGTGCTATTTAATAAGCAACTCGATCAGGAGCTACAGCTACCTAACGTGAAACCGCTGTAGATCAAGCGAAAAAAGTTAACCAAGTAAAGAGTAAGAGAAGCCACTGTCTTTGGTAAGTAATAACTTTAAATTTGTTTCATGCAGTCTATCAGGAGCATGCCACAATGGCGGTCCAATCACAGATATGCATCATCCGTCCATACCTGCTCCATGCTGTTGAAGTGACCCATATTCGGCGCTTGCCTATACAGTGGCATGGAAGCTGGCTTGGACTGCTGCAATGCCATCGGTTCGCTGACTTGACCTTGCTGCATGTGCGTCGCCGGCATACCGCGGAATATCGGTGCTGCTACCGATACAGGGCTATCATTCTTCCACATATCACGTTGTGAACCCTGGACGTCGAGGAGGCGCTTGTGTGGGACGTTTACAGGGGCATCAGGACGGTATTGCTGAGCAAGCCCAGACGTCCCAAAGTACATCCCACGCACGTTGTTGTTAGAATATGGGTTTCCTGCCATCATGTAGTTGCCAGGCTGTTGCTGTTGGATGTGACTTGCAGGCGAGCCGTAAGGTGAGTTCATCATGCCTATTGACGTCGAAGGAGGAGTGCCCATCACAACCGGACTAGATGACCGTACACGCTGGATCGAAGATTGCATCGGAACGTAGTCAAAGGTCTCGTTCTGGCTGTTATGATTCAGATCATCGGCGGGGGACACCGAGCAGGGAGACGACGTCATGGACATGGGACGACTATAGTCCGGGTTCATCCCGTTTGAAAAGCTACCTCCGTTTAGCGGGTAGACCATCGTGGGTTGTCGTAGTGATGCGGACATCATGTTTGAACGTTCAAAGTCCACTATCGAGTTGCCATCCTGCATTATATATCAACACCATAATAGTTAGTATCGATCCTCTCCAATTAATTCGAAGCAGCGGGACTCACGCGTGCGGCGTCCCCAGAGGCCTCCGAGAAGAGCCGTTGATATGTGGATTGGAAACTCACCCCTCGGTGCGGAAGCTGTTGTTGCGGTGGCAACTGGTGTTGCATGCCAGTCAAAGATCGCTGGCTGGGAGCAGGACCCATTTGGTTGTTGTTTTGCACGGGAGACGACGTGACTGACGCCACGCGGATGCTCTTGCCATCACGCATGGGACCTTTTTTGCGGATTGACTGCCTCTGCATGCGACGCATGGTCGAGTAGTAGCGGTTTTTGATGGCATTGTCCGTCCTGCCAGGCAACATCTTGGAAATCTCGGCCCATTGGTTGCCCACATTCTTGTGGCACTCGAAGATGACATAGTCCTCTTCAGCCGTCCATGCGTCCTTGCGGACCGACGGATTCAAGTGGTTGTGCCATCTCTCACGGCATTGCTTACCGACACGGCCTGGCAGGTGCATGGCGATGAGAGACCAGCGCTTGGCGCCGTACTGCTTGACGAGTTGCATGAGCTTGTCATTCTCCTCGCGTGTCCACGGACGCTTGCTGTTGGAGTCGGTCTTGCGACGCGCCGTCTTCTTGTTGTTGTCCTCGTCCTCTTCACCAAATGACTCCTCGGGGCTGCCATACTTGCTGCTGGTCGTGCTGCTGCCTCCATGTGTTGCAGTTGCCCTCAAATAACTCAGCTGTAACAAACGTCTACGTGAAAATACTATCACTACAAATAGAGAAAGGCAGACGACGTACGTCTGGGTTGTGGGCAACCCCGACAAGAGGCATCTCACCCCCCTGGTTACTGCTACTCGAATCAGAGCGATGCAGCAGGTCGAGAGTCGGACTGGGGCTTCCACTGTTGCTGCTGTTAGGGCTGGCGCCGCCGCTGTCCAGCTCCATGAGCTCCAGCTTACGGTTCATGTCGGTATCAGCCGTTGCTCGAGCGTTGAATGGGCGTTGAACGAGCGTTTGGACTCTGGCTTGAGCAGTACGAGGGCGTTTTGCGAGTGCTGTGCCACGTCCCACGAAGCCCACAACTTGTGCTTGAGTTTCCCCTGCGGCTCCACAAGATCGAATGAGTGGAACGTTTCGTGGCGGTTTCCGTCGATTTGAGCCAATCAGAGATGGCGTCGATGGATACGTTTTGTCCCGAAAGGGCACGTTGATCGCTTTGTATGGAAAAATGTATGCCCGGCAGAGAAGCGGGATCAACGGTCGGCGGTTGCACGTCTCTTCAGTACCGTAGTAGCAGCACAGTTCTTCTGCGCTATCCTGATATATATCGAATCATACAGTGTATTTAATACTGATCGACATTTTACTCGTACTTGCGGAAGTTTTGGCATCAATGCAGAAAGGTTGTAGGATCTTGCTATGTGCTCGGTTAGATGTTGTCCTTTCACTGCTGAAATCAAGGTGAAACCCCCACGCCGGCCGTCCGCGATATGACTTGCCTGTCGCTCACTCTCCTCCACAGTCTCCGGTCGAGTCGCGTTCGTCTGCAGGGAGAGGTTACAGCGCGCGTTACAGACCCAGTGCAACCGAAGACTGTTGCCAATGAATTGCGCTACTTTAGCACTCGCCGTTCAGCGTCGTAACGCTGGGTCAGGTGTGAAGTGAACACGTCACGCGTAACCTTCAGTGGTAGACTTTGAACATCCACAGAGGGCCACCGGCTGCAACTTTATAATTATTTATGTACGCCAACGCAACACTGGGAGCACGCAGGAACACGGTTTTCCAGCTTCCAACGCTGTACCAAGGATGCTGCTTGAGACTTGTTTTTCGGCAAAAGCGCCTTGTGAGCCCAAACCATTCAATGAAGCCAACGGGCCCACGTGACGGTCCATGTGAGTAGTACAATATTGACCCACCAGTGGTGGTACATGTAAGTGACCTTCTATCAAATTTTGAGTTGGTTTTACTGATTTTACTTGAACCATAGTTTTTTGCGTATCAATTATGTGGCGCATCGCCATTCGTCCATCATTCGCCTCTCTCCACAATACAAGAACGTCCGACCAGAGAGCAACTACAGCGACCGCTATGACGGAGCAATCAATTCGTGTCGTTGTGGCAGCTCTCGAGACCACGGGTGGCATCGGCCTGCGCCAACATATCCCGTGGCGCCTTCCCTCCGACATGAAGCACTTTCGCGCATTGACCACGGCCTCTCCGGACTCTTCGGTGCAGCACGCAGTTATCATGGGGCGCAAGACGTGGGAGTCACTACCAGCCAAGGTTCGGCCCATGCCCAAGCGCTACAACGTGGTGCTGACTCGTGACTCCAGCTACAGAAATAAACAAGAGATACCTGATACTGTGGGAGTCGCTGCCAGCTTTCGTGAGGCGCTGAAGCTCGTGCAGGAGCAGGGAGACAAAGTGGACCAGGTCTTCGTCATTGGCGGCGGCGCTGTGTACGCTGAGGCTCTGAGCTATCCAAGTTGCACTAAGGTGCACTTGACAAGAGTCAAGGGCCAGTTCGAATGTGATGCTTTTTTTCCGCTGGAGCAACTCGAGCAAAACTTTAAAGTGGCGGAGGAATCCGAAGTCAAGGAGGAAAACGGAGTGCAGTTTCACTTTGTCGAGTGGGAAAGAAAGACTGGAGAGGTAAAAGCTGTAGAATCGGCATTGCTAGTGGACAACACGACGCCTCACGAGGAGATGCAGTACTTGGACTTGATCCGGAAAATTCTGACGCAAGGAGCCAAGCGTGAAGACCGCACAGGAACGGGCACGTTGTCAGTCTTTGGGGCACAGATGAGATTTAGCCTGAGGAACAATGTGTTCCCATTGCTGACAACCAAGAGGGTCTTTTGGCGAGGTGTAGCCGAGGAGCTTTTGTGGTTCATTAGTGGCGACACGAGTGCACACACTTTGCAGCAGAAAGATATTCACATCTGGGACGGTAATGGATCTCGCGAGTACCTGGATAGTCGAGGACTTCAGCATCGGGAGGTTGGTGACCTTGGACCTGTTTACGGCTTTCAGTGGCGCCACTTTGGCGCCAAGTACACGGACATGCATGCGGACTACACTGGCAAAGGCGTGGACCAGCTTGCTGAGGTGATTCACAAGCTGCGTACGAATCCGACTGACCGACGGATTGTGCTCTCGGCGTGGAATCCCTCAGATCTCAACGAGATGGCACTGCCGCCGTGCCACATGTTCTGCCAGTTCTACGTGGCCAATGGGGAATTGTCTTGCCAAATGTATCAGCGCTCGGCCGACATGGGACTTGGTGTACCTTTCAACATCGCCAGCTACGCGCTTCTTACGCGACTGGTAGCACAAGTGACAGGCCTAAAGCCTGGCGAGTTTATCCACGTCATCGGTGATGCACACGTGTATCTAAACCATGTGGAACCGCTTCAGAAACAGCTTACGCGTACACCGTGCCCGTTCCCGACACTTCACATCAACCCTGAAAAGACCTCAAGCATTGACGAATTTACGTTTGAGGACTTCGAGGTGCGTGACTACCAGCCACATAGCACAATTAAAATGGCGATGTCTGTTTAGCCATCGAAAGGGGTTCGCGGTAACTGCAGGTTAGAGGCCCTAGGCCAGGTAAACTATGAGTACGCAGAACGATAATGGCCATTATTAGTGGGTTAATGGGTCCTCCCTCCTGATATTGCATGCACTTTGTACATCGGAAAAGATGAAAGGTGTACTCAATAGTTTTTGGAATGGTCAAGGATAGTGGCACCAAACAAGAACTTGTTGAGCTTTAAATATTCGGCACCAAGCAACGTTTAGCACCAAACAACCCTAAAAGAACGTTAGAAAAAACGCGCGAAGCTGGCCCCCCTACAGTAAGAAAAGTACCATAGGCAGCGCTGTGTCTAAGCTTGACGATTTTTTTTTACTAGTAGTGGTTGTCAGAGTTTGATACAAGCCTATGGTTGTCAAGAGCTGAATGCGGTTGTCGGATCTGGCTTGGATTAATGAAGTGGGTGTCAGACTACGCTGGTAGTGCCATTGTGCTTTGCAAGCTGTCGTGGTCTCCTTCTCTTGTCGGGGTCGTGTATCTTGTAAAAGCCGACGAAGGAGCTTAGACGTAATAGATGAGTAAAATATACTTGTTTCTTATTTCTTTTTCTTGAGCGATCTCGTAAAAGAAGGAAATTCACGACTGAGAGCTTCCTTACCAGCCCTCGAACTTACCAAAGTACCTCCTACCAGCACCAGTACCTCTAGTCGTAGTTTGTAAACGGCGTCAGCGTACCACTGTATGAGCCCCTTCGTTCCATTTTAGACTAGGGACGAGGTAGTCGGCGAAGGGAAAAGAGACTGATCGGGCCTGACACTCTTCTTACGCCGCTCGCTGATTTGCCGCAGGCAGTCATCCAGAATAGCGAGTCCTTCCTCTAGCAGAAGACCGTGACATTTCTCCCCGACTGCCGCTCGGAGTCCTCGCCGAGCCTCATCCTTTCCAGCAGGTCTGATCGCCGAGTCGACATACATATCTGGAACGATCGACGTCGTTCCAATAGAGGTTGAATCCGAATTTTCTTGCGCCGTCGACGCTTTACCGTCAGGACCTGCACGCAAATGGCCAAGGCTAGCTCTCTCTCTCTCTTCTTTCTCGACGCTCCTTTCAACTTTCGAGCTTAGCACTCTTCTTACGCCGCTCGCTGAATTGCCGCAGGCAGTCAGCCAGAATAGCGAGTCCTTCCTCTAACCGAAGACCGTGATATTTCTCCCCGACTGCCGCTAGGAGTCCTCGCCGAGCCCTCTCCTCTCCAGAAGGTCCGATAGCCGAGTCGACAGGCAGATCCGGAACGAACGATGTCGCTCTAATCGGGGCCAAGTCTGGATCTTCGCGAGCCAGCATCACTTTCTCTTTAGGACCTGATTGCAAAAGGTCAAGGCTAGCTCTCTCTCGCTTTTCCCGGCGTTCCTTTCGGTCTTCGAGCATAGTCCAGCATCGTTGAGCAGTCGCAATTCTAGAACCGTCGGCCCCCCTCGCTTGCCGCGCCCAATAGTACTTCGTAGGATGGCTATAGCAGCCTAGAGCTAAGACGAACATGTTACCGTAGAGACACGCGACTGAGAACTCCAGTATCACATTCACCATTAAGGTGACTAACGCTACGCCCATCCAACCGCATAGTACTACTTCCACGCCTTCATAAACCACTCTAGGGAGGTAGAATACGAGCGACATTAGCAGTTGTCCCACTAGACATACGCCAATCAGGTACTCGCCCACGCGATCGATAGATGCAGCCGCAGCCTCGGCAATCGCCCTCGTATATCGACAGCACGACGTCCCAATCAGTTGAATTACATCTGGAACGAAGAGACAGATCGAGTGGTTCCACGCCTCGCACCATTTGAGACACAGCTGTCCAAAGATGCTAAAACGGGATTCGTAGCTCCGTAATACAGCCATGGGAACGAGGAACGTTAACGTGACCAAAATGCACGCGTATTCTTTAGGATGCAGCGCTTAAGCGTTGGCTCCGCGGACGGTAGTGACAAATCGGTCACTTCAGGTATACCAGAAGGAGCCGACGGTAGGACCACAGTCCACTAGGCTCGCACTGAAAGCCCATCCCATGTTACGTAAAGGGGTCGTGACCACCCACACCACAATTCGTGCCACGGCACAGCCTCTGCTTCGATCTCGGAGAACTTCATGACAGGCGACACCGTCACCGCTGCATTGAGCCACGTCCCCAACACTTCCATCATTTCGGACTGACGCTAGGCCCGTTAGGAAAGGTCTTCCAGGCGTCGTCCGTTGGCACCCCCTTCCCAAATGGCGTCAGTGTTACCCAAGTCGTTTCCTTTCATGTCGTTCCAATTTGGCACTCTGTCGCGAGCACCTTCTCTCCTATGTCCGTCAGCCACCAACCGAGCCAATGCGACGTATCCGCCAATTTTTAACTATCTCCTCGAAGGACACCTCCCAGCTACGATCGCTCTTCTGCCAACATGTCAAAGCGCCTCACAGCCGCGGAGCGCCGGCGTTTCAAGGGATTCATCAACGCGGCGCTGGATTACGACGAACATGGAGCGCCAGGAGACGACGCCAAGACCATCAAGCGGGAGTTCTGGGTCGCTTTGAAATCGCACCTGGGTGGCAACGGCCTATCTACCGGTCTGGAGCATATGGAGCAGTTAGGCGACGATTTACTGGAAGGTCGGTCCTTCGTCGCACTGCGCGGTCCCGTGGTAGCGATGCTGTCTCAGCCAGAAGTGTCGCCCGTGCCGTCCGCACCTGCTAAGGCTTTCACTACTCCCTCCGGCTCAACTGCGAAGAAGCCTGTTCGCGGCAAGCGGAGAACTCGCAGTGGGTCTCCACCATTCAAGACGTCCAAGAAACTGCGGAGAAGTGACAAGTCTGACAAGTCGACATCTTCTCTCGTTCCTTCTACTGAGTACAAGGCGTTGGTCGACTTAAATCTCGACGCTCCCGACTCCGTAAAGGCTGCCGTTTACTTCATCCTGGCAAAGGCGGTCGGAAAGAAGCCTTGGTGCATCGCGTACCCTTGGACGGGGCAGGGCGTCCGCAATGGTACAACCCGCTTCGCTTCCGCGCGATTTATCGCGCTCATTGGCGTTTCTGGATGTCGCACCGTCGGGCGTCCTGGGAATGGGCCCTTTACGCGCCTCTGGCGTCGGAGATGGCGCAGAATAATCGTCGAAAGGCCAAGATGCGCGCCGTACAAGCTCGTGTGGCCTTCATCAGCTTGTGCACCGAAACCTGCGGCTTCTATGGATTTCTCACGCTCCTTGACAAATGCCCGCTGATGTTCTGGATGGGAGGCCAGCCCGGTCGCGATAGCAAGAAGTGTCTGCGCTACGATGGACCTCTCGTGGACACGTTAACTTCGCTTAAAGACAAGAATCCGGAACGATACCAGGCCACGATCGACAGTGCTCTGGAGCTCGTGCAGATCGACGCGTATGGATTCCGAGTATTCGCGTTCTGTTAGAGACGACGGAGGCTTTGGTCCCTACGGCCAAGCCGGCCAATCGACTCTCCAGGGTGGCTTTGGCTCGCGTTCGGCTCGATCTTCAGTCCTCGGCGACGCCTCGTGACACGTAGGTGGGGGTCACTAGTGACGAGCCCTGGAAGACCCTCATCAATAACGCTCTGGTGAAGCAAACCCAGCTGACAGTCGCGACAGAGCTGGAGAACAGTTCGTATCAGCTCCCCGGAGTTAGGGGACCGACTAAGACGGAGCGTAGACGTGGCGAGTGGTCGGACCTCGAAGAGGAGGATGAGGACGAAATTAAAGCTGCTGTTCCGACTGCTACTGTCGTGACCTCAGCCACCGCCGACTCTCAGAGTGCTGAAGCCGACGCTGACGACGGGGAGGATGACGATGAAGAAGCCGAGAACGACGACGAAGACGAAGATGAGGACGAGTACAAACCGAAGGACGACGACGAAGGAGAAGATGATGAGATTAAGGCTGAGGACGACGACGGGGGAGACGACGAGAAGGTCGTTCCCAAAAAGGTTTTAGCCAAGAAGGGGAAGGCCACCAAGAAGTAGCCTCCTATTCGGAGTCGTTTTTAGTCCTCGTTCCTGTCTTGTTTTTTCGTCTCGAATACACCCATTTAATCTTCGCGTTACAAGCCTTGGTCGTTCCTTGATGTCTAACCAGTTGTCTCGTTCCTCGAGTCAGTGTTTCCGCGTTCCAACTTTGTCAATCCCGGGCATAACCGCCCCGCCAAATGGTCCTGCGCTCTGTTGATGCCTCATGTCACGCTCCGGGTGTCCATTTCCGTAGCGTTCCAATATGTAAGGACAAAATGCAGTTTAGTGTCTTGAGACTCACACGTTCCCAAGCACCAAAATGAGTGAAGCGGTCACGCTTCACTCGTTCCAACTAGCCGGCGGACCAGTTAAAAACCACTTCTGCGTCGTCCACACCAGCGTTGGCTTCGACCAACCTGACGCTTCGACGTATCTCCGGTAGACCCTTCTTTTTGCGGTCGGCTCCCTCAAAGACGCTTATCAAAGTTCCGAATTTGGGGAACAAAGCAGTTCGAGGTAACCAAAAGGTCTCGTATGTTACCGTCAGTACTAGGTACTGCAGCTCGCCCTTATCCACTCTCTTAGCAACGACGTCCACGATGGGCGACGAAACACCGGTGAAAGCTGTCTCCTCACCCCCGATAGACACTCGTTCCACAAAACTCGACTGAGGCAGATCTTCTTCTTGTAGTGGTCCAGCCTCCAATTGCAATTCATTCTTGGCTATGCCCTCAATTGTCGCGTGATTACTTGTCTCGTTCCCGGCTGTCACATCCTCGCTTGTCACGCTCTCACTTGCCACATTCTCTGCTGTCCCTCTGGGCACTTCGCCCGCAAACGGTCGACTCCAGCGGCCACGGAAACGTTTCAGCCGATTCACGTTCACAGCGACGACCCTGTCGGGAAGTTTAGGAATTGCGATCTTGAAGGCGTTCTCCCTCACTTGGTCGACAATACGGTACGGACCGTGCCAAGAGATCGCCAACTTCTTCGTCTTATTTTTACTAACTTTTGCCCTGAAAACCTGATAGACCCAGACGGGATCGCCCACCTCATACGCGACCTTGACTTGTTTATTCAACCGCTGCTCGTGACGATCTTGAGCCTTTAATAGCTGTCGTTCCACCAGACGCCTTGAGTCACGTAGCGACAGATACAACTTTCTTCGGTACGCGGCAATCTCGTTGCTTTTCTAGTCCTTTCCGGTGTTGAGGAAGGCCAAGTCGATCGACAGGACCGGGTCACGACCGTACAAGCTGAAGCAGGGAGTGTCTCCAAGGCCCTCATGGTAAGCCGTCCAATAAGCCAACAAGACCCGAGGTAAATAGATATCCCAATCGGTCTGAGTTTCCCTCACGAACATCTTGAGCATTCCCAACAACGTTCCATTGAATCGTTCTACCAACCCCTGAGTTTGTGGGTGGTAGGCGGCTCCAAACAAATTCTTTATCCCTAGCGTCTGATATAACGATCGTGCCAAATCGGATGTGAAGCTCGCTCCTCGGTCACTAAGCAATCGTTCCGGAACGCCATGTCGACAAATGACACCTTCAAGCATGG